TATGTGATGTCACATTAGTATGTTACATGGCAGCTGTCTGCAAGGAAGTGCTGCGCGCAATCAGTGACTTTCTCCCTGACAAATTTGGTACCGTCTTTGACGGGTGTGCTTATAAAGCAAACATTACTTTACGGTCTTTGCAACTTTTGGTCATGATGGCAAGCAGGAGACTGTACTGCTGACGATGGCGCCTCTCGTGAAGACGGTGAGGACGACCGGTAGGCAGATGTAAGTTTAGTTGTATGTATAATGTATTTCAGCTAGATCGAGGATGCAATTATGTTTCTCTTTTTCGCTCTTGCCTGCACACCAAATATTTATTTCATCATCTTCCTACAAAAAATTGCGATACTATCTAGGAAACGCTGCCCAAAATCCTTCATTTTGAATCGAGCATTGAGAATGGTTTTTATCATCCGATTCGTCTTCAAAGTTGAAGCGAAGATGATCAAAATAGCCACATAAATTGTTGTAAGCATCAGCCATCCATCGATGACTTTCACAGCAACGCAAAGCTCTCAGCGCAAAGCTCACAGCCCAGAAAGCCAAATCCTTGCTCCATCAGGTAAGACTTCAACAGGCAAAACCAAGCTCGTGGCGCCTGTTTCAGACGAAACAGACTCTTTCTCAGGCAGCAAACTCAATTTTCCTTTTCTTCTACGGCATACTTCTCGTATAGACCTCCATGTCAATAGCTCCGTTGACAAAGCAGTAGCCACATCCATTTGATGTGCCTCGCAGTCCCATACAGCGGCTAGTGTCCAGTGGGCTCGCAGAGTATCTAGCCGAGCTACGAGTGAGTACACCTCTAAGTAATCAATACCGCAGACCTGTATAAACCTTTTGACTACGAGCCTGACTTGAAAACGCTCCGATGTATACTTCACGCGGAATGTCCGTCGGTTCCTTAGCACCTTCATGTGCTTCTCTCAAGACACAAACACCCACGTGCAGTTCTCCATCAGCTCTCCGTACTCTTCATCGGTAACACATTTCCACTGCACTGCATACTCACTCATTAGCGCTTCATGGAGTGTATCCGGTTTAGTGACGATGCTCACAGACAAACATCCGTAATCCTCCCATCCAGTGAATGCTTTCTCCTGCATCATCGTCTGCGGAAGTCTTTTTGAGCCTTATACCATTCTACAGACCCAGAATCACGCTGCACTATCATCTGGATTTGTGTTTGAGTAAGCAGTGCTGACGTAGTCACTAAACCATGATGGTGATTTGCAGACACGTTCACTCCATGTTCATGGGAAGACATCTGCGTCTGTGCTTACACCTTCCAAAGCCGAAAACTCCCACAATCCTCGCTTGGTTGAAGTCGTAACAACCTCACTTGACTAGTATTCACGAGATTCAACATCTTCGAATCCGTGGTCGCTCCTCCACGCGATATCGAAACAGACGGCCACTCACGGGCTGACAACTCGTAACTTGCCACTCGCGTACTCTTCTCTTTAGCATGTTCATGGGGTTGTACCTCTACAGTCGGCGCCTTGCGCCGCCCACTGCGTCTTTTCTTCATTGCACGATGCACTGGCCGTTTGACATGCTCGCTGAACCCATCTCGCAGATGGTCAACCTGCAAATGCTCATGGTTGTCAGCGCAACGCGCTACCACTATGCTTGAAGCACGTTGCCATTCACAGCTTCATTGTTCCTTCCGACAAGGTTTAACTGGATAACACCGTCATTCGACCGACCACACTTTTCAAATCTATGCACCTCGCCCCCACCTGTCCGTGCACTACTAACATCTCGATGCCCACCAGCCCACCTGCACGGGCACCACTCAAGTCTTGCGCAATCTCATCCGTCTGTGACCTTTCGTTATCGTCGGCCCCACCTGTTATGCCATCATGAGCCTCCTCTAACTCCATAATATCACCGTCAATACCGAAGTACTCTGCTTCTGTCTGGTTTCGGCCGATAAAAAACACCCAGGCTTGTTCTCATAGAAGACAGCAGTATGGCTGTAAGATGATTAATTGTCTTACAAGCAATAGCCGCGCTTCTCTCGACTGTAGCCAACAAAAATCGCTTCACGACCTTTAGACCCCATCTTCTTCCGCTCCACTTTGCGGACATACGCTAGAGCACCACACCCGAACGTTCTTAGCTGCGAGTATGACGGGGTCCCCCGATGCCACACTGCATACGATACCTGCATGTCTTTTGTCGAGTTTGGCACGATGTTGGGTAGTACCCACCTGTCACGGCGGCCTCTGCCCATGACTTCAGGGGTAGGGTGAAAAGCGTCAATAGGCAACACATTCGCTCCGTCACAGTCCTTACCATCCGCTCAGCTACATCGTTTTTTTCAGGTGTATGTTTACAGCATCCGAGCGCTCCATTTCATACCTTTTCTCACATGTCTGCATAGCGAAGTCAGCTCTCGTCTGTTATCGCTTCGTAACTTCTTCACCCGCACTTTGAGCTGGATCTTCACATGCTCATAGAGCAGCTTGAACTTAGCATAGACCTCAGAGCGCTATTTCAGCAGAGACAAAGTCGAAAACCGACTTGCACAACAAAGCGAGCGAAGTAACTCTTACACGAGGAGAAAGCGACTGCATATGACCCACATAAGGCCACAGGCACAAATTTACCAAAATGTCACTCATTTTCCGAAGTGCCAGCAAATTGAAAGCTTTTTCGTGCTAGCTTTTCATTCACACACGATTTACAGTAAACGTTCTCGTCAGTCCACAAATCCACGCCAGATACAAGCCAGCCTGCATGTTTGAACAGCGCATCAAACACATTCCGGCCTTCGTAACCAAGTCTCGCATGCCACAACTCCACAACTTGATCTAAAGCGGAAATCACCACCGTTGCAGAGTTTGCGTCCGGTGGACTCTCCAACGCGCTATGACAGAGGGTTGTTTCGTCAATACGTGCCATTGCTAAGGTCTGCCCCTTCGCCATAGCACGAACTCGAACACGTTGACCAGGAGGCAGATCTTTTCGTGCCTGTCTCCGCACTGAGACAGATCGCAATAAAGTTCTGGGGCGGGGAGAGGGGGGGGGGCATTGGTGGCTTGTGATGTATGACTAGCGAGAAACATTTCCACCACGTTGTCAAACTCACGAGGTAGTGATCCGATCAGTAGTGCCGATTTTTATCCTCATCCAAAGACTTTCCCAATACTACAATACGCTCCATAAGGCGGTGTCATGTACCTCAACAACATTTTCCTTTTTGAAACAAGGCGTAGTCGACGTAAGTTCGACATTTCGTCTACCTACTTGAAGTACATTTTGCCGACAAACCACTTCTTCAAGCTCTCCAATACATGAAAGGGAGTATGATCATACCACCATTTTCAAGATTTGGTCCGTCATCCCATCATACAGGATCTCATTGGCTCGGTGAAACTCCTTCTTCCACTTGGTATGCTCTTCAGACGCTTTGCACTCTAGCCCAGCATCGACAGCATGGCTTCTACAAGAATTTGAGGCGCCAATTGCTATAACGATCACTCGTATAGTCATGTTCCCTAGACGACTACATGAAGAGTAGCAAAGCCACTGGACCACCCGATGCGTTACGATAGTCATGTAGTGCGTGTAGTCAGAAGCATCGATCTCTTCTTCCTTCGTCGTAAACTGACAATTCTTTCGAGTAGGGACACCATGCGAGATGCATTGATGCTATATAAATATTAAATTCGACATTCTTTGCTACATGTACTTTTCTTTGAATCACTATTATTTGCTTTAAATAAGCCCTCATTTAGTTAACATATCATATTGTGAGATGTAATTACTAGTACGAGCTGCTAGCAGTCTCTTGTAAGAGAGCCGCACAAATGACCTTTTGATAAACTCAGTTGTTTTAATCCTTCGTGGCATAAAAGCGCAAAACAAGGGGCCGGATATGGTCGTCAAAGGGCACCTGGTGCGCCTTTTGAAAAAAATTCAATCGATTCAACTTCGTCTAAAAAAATATACGAGAAACTGTGAGATTCGTAATTATCCAGCTTACTTTAATTCAGATGTATTCTTCTATCATGTTGTATCATCAATGCATCTCCAATAATTATTACAAAAGATGGTATCAAACAAGAACAGTGATTTCGCTGAACGGCGCATGGGGCGCCCTTTGGGAAATAAATATCATGGGTGTGTATAGTATACTTTGGATAACTGTATCACGAAAGGGTTAAGATGTGAAGCGAAATCACGGAGGTTGGTTTGTCTTTGTCACAGTGGAGAGCTAGAGCAAATAAATTTGCCACTACTTAGAACCTCGCTGAAATATTTCTCTCGATCAGGGTGTCAAGAAACGATCTAATCGGAAAAGTATTATTTAAACATCTTCAGTAGTATCTAATATTTTCAAATATCCTGCTTAAAAATATTAAACATTTTTGATAGCTTCAGCAACTTAGAGCTACTACTACTATTATATTTAAGGATAGTACTACTACCAAATATATTATATGATATTTGGAGCTGGGGTTACCTTTTAAAAGGTTAATGATTAACCCTGTGATTCACTCCAGCCGTCTACTGTAGTAGAGGCCCTCTACTACAGAGTACAGTACTGCATCCGCTTTCGCGCCCTTAAACCTTTAATAAACTTCCGGGTATAATGCTCCTGAATCCAGATGAACCATTGTTTGTCTGCTGAAATCTGATTTATTTGGGAAAGCTATATGGTCCATCCCCGCAAAAACGGGGTGCAGTACTGTACTGTGGAAGAGTGTAAAACTTTTTGAGATTCCAGTACAATATTTACTACACAAGTTCAACTTGTCCTGATCTGACGGGCGCAGCAGACCAGCTTACGTGACCGATTTCTCATCTCCTCGAGATCTGTCTCTTCACCGAGAGTCAACATCGCACTTTAATCTCCATTTTTAACTGCTGCGCCGCTCATGGGGCCTCGTCGCGTCCGCCTTGCGGCCATGGCGCTGTCGTTATTCTGCCCCTGCGCCAACTCGACCACGGAGCTGATTCGTATCCCTTTAGAGAACTACGATCAGATGCAGTTCTTCGGCTCCATTGGCGTCGGGTCGCCGCCTCAGCGTTTCCAGGTCATCTTCGACACAGGCTCCAGCGACATCTGGCTGCCCGAATCTAGCTGCGCGGACTGCGCTGGATCTAGGCGCTACCACGCTGCTGTCTCGCGCTCGCACGAGCCGCTGAATGAGCCCTTCCGCCTCGAATACGGCAGTGGCAACGCCTCGGGTCGCGTCGTGCGTGAACAGGTCTCACTCTTTGGTGGCGACGAACAGAGTCTGACGCTCTCAAGGGTGCACATGGGCAGCACCACCAAGACAACCAAAAGCCTGCAACGTTTTCAGGCCGACGGTATTGTAGGTCTCGGTCTTGAGGCGCTGGCGGTCATCACCAAACCAAGTCTTCTTAAATCCGACCCGAGGTTGGGACTCTTCTCCATTTACATCAACCCGCTGCCAGGTGCATTGCCACCGGCACAGCTCATCTTCGGTGGGGTGGATGACTCGCTGCCTATTGCTCACATACCGCACGCAAATGAAGCACAGGTCAGCTGGCACCATTTCCCACTCGTTCGGTACCCGTCCAGTAGACGTGCTCACGGTTTCTGGGCCATTCGGCTGCATCGACTGACTGTTGGGAATTTTGATTCTCGATCCAAGTCCAGCCCGAAGAAACTTGCAGGTAGTGGAGATGGGATCGTAGCCGTCTCGGCAGCTGTGGCTATTGTGGACTCGGGCACTTCCCTACTACTGCTTCCGCGACGCGCCTTTGATACAACAATAACAGAAATCCAGCAGCATCTGCGCGTACAGCACAGCAAAGAGCTACGTGTGAATCCTCATGCCGTGAGTGGCTATGCCTGTGTAGACTGTACAGCGGAGATGTTCCCCGCGCTGCGATTTAGCTTTGTGATAGAAGAAACGCCTGCTGGCTCTCAGTCGAAGACGCAGACTCTGGTGCTCAAAGGTACGGACTACGCGCGCTGTGACGACCTCATGTGCGCACCACAACTTGACGTGCACGCACTATTCACGTCGAAGAGCAAGAGCAAGGTTCCAACCCCTGCTGCTTCCGCAATGACCACCAACATTCCACAAGGGACAGAGCACGAGGACGTTGTGGTGCTTGGTGTCACGTTCATGCGCGCATACTACGTGCAGTTCGACTCGCAGCGCAAGACCGTGGGGTTCGCCTGCGTCGATTCGGCGACATCCAGTGCTGTCTGCTCCGGTGGTTGGGCGCCCAAGCTCCAGTTCCACTCGGCGCATTTCTTGGACGCCGAAGCTTCAGCATGGCGAGCCGGTTGGGTCTTCTGGTCGCGGGTGTATCTAGGTATCGGCGTGTTGCTGCTGCTGGTGGCATTCGCGCTACTGTGGCTCATACTGGTAGTGCCGTCGTCCGAAGTGAAGAAGGTGTTCAACTGGTTTTACGGACCCAGCGACAAGAGTCGAAGACGGCAGCAGCAGACAGAGTGCAAGCTACTGCCAACTCGACGGAGCTCGTATCAAGGGCAGTCCAGTGACAGCAACCGAGACGACGAAACCGCAGAGCCTGACTCGGAGCCAGAGTCACCTCCGGCACCGTCAAGACGCAAAAGCGTGAGCTTCGACGTATAGAAAGATAGAGTACTGTAGATGCGATGTATCAATATGCAATGTACAGGTAGGTCGGAACAATATTCATACCGGTATACCTAGAAGCTGAAGTTCTTATCGTAAAAAGCACTGTAAAAGCCGGTTATAAACCTGATTGTTTTTTTGTTTTTTGTTAATCGTCCAAATTGCTCGGCAGAGAAGCAAGGTCTCCATTATTGTCGCTGCCATGGAGCTACTGAACAAGATCTGCCTGTTCGGGGCGCGCCACTGCTTCTACACGCAGTCGGCGGCTGCTGGCGCGGCTTACTGCTACGCGGTGGTGCTGGCGTACACTCTGTCCGTGAGCATCCAGCGCGGGCGCCTGGGCGAGCACGGCCACGCGACGCATCTGATGCCGGTCAAGCGGATGCGCTGGTTTCCGACGTTCCTGAGCTTCGCCTACTTCTCACGCATCGCGTGGCTGGTGCTCAGCAATATGCACATGTTCCAGTGGGTGGAAGGCTCGGCGCCCGACTTCCACTACGAGCACATGGTGTTCGTCACGCCGCTGCTGCCTACGGACATCGACATTTACGTGCTGGGCGTCACGAGCTTCGGCAAGCTGGCCACGCTGCTCTACTTCTCAGCGTTCACGCTGCTACTCCGTTTCTGGGAGGACGTACGTACACAAGCTCAGCGGGCGGAGAAACCGTTGGCCCGAGTGGCGGCCAACCAGTCCGTCATCGCCGAGTACACGCGCGGAGCCGGCGCGCAACGGTCTGGTCGATCTAGAAAGCTGTTTCTCGTGGCCAACGTCTGGATTTACCTGGTAGAATGCGCCTTACTGGTGCTCAAGACACTGTTCCCCGGAGAGAAGATGGTGCTGTTCGAAATGGAGTACGGCTTTGTGGCCCTGTGCTTCTTCTTGCTGGCCGTCATGCTGGCCAGGTGCGCGTTACAGCTGCGCGCCGTGCTGCTCAAGATCGAGTTCTCATCTCTGGCGGCCACCATCGCGTCGAGGCTGTCGCTGATTGGCGCTGTGTCGTCGGTGCTCTTCTTCTACCGCAGCATACTGCTGCTTTTCTCCATGCCGGCCATTGACGTCTTCGACCCGCACGTATCGAACCCGTGGCTGTTCTACGCGATCCCAGAGCTCATCCCGGGCGCGTTGGTCATTTACATGATGAACGTCAAGAGGCTACACCAGCCGCCTCCACCGGCATGGGGGATCACGAAGGCAGACGAGCAGACGCCACTGCTGCAAGAGTTGCGAAGACTCTCCACCGACCTGCCGCAGTTCCATGGGCAAGAGCTGCACATCTAACATTATTATTGTGAATATTGTGCAATAGATGGTTGTTGCGGACGGACTACTTCATTACCAGTACTGACATACAAGAACTGCAGCTGATGGCCACTCTAGTCATCATCGCTGCGCGGTTTGTTCCAGATCCACTTGTTGCCCGACAGTTTGATGCCTTCTTCGACTGGGCAGCCAGCATGCAGACTCATGGGATCTCCCTCGCCATTCGGCAGCATACTGTAGAACACGACGACTTTACGCTTCTTGGGTGCGACGCTAATGCCTTGCGAGCAGTCCTTGTTAGAAGACGGGCGTGGTAGGCCACCAGAACGAGCGAAATTGGTGTGCCCGCCCTTAGCCACATCCGACATGTACCAGAACACCGTGATCATGCGGTTCTTGTAGCCGTACTCAATCCGCTTTAGCACGTCAGGCGAGTTGCGATGGCGTTCGGCCGAGAAGTAGTCCAGATGCTGGTCGTAGTGCTGCGTGGGCTCGTAACGCAGCACTTGCACGGATTCCTGGTGGCTGATTGGAACCTTGACGAGGTCGGCTGTACGTTTGTCAATTGTTTGCACCACAGGGTGACTGGACGAGTCCAGCCAGTACGTTGTACTCGTGCGCCAGTCCGTTGCCGGTCTGTTCTCGTGGCCGTCCTGCAGAGTCACACCGGACGGCGCCAAATGCGGCATCGACAGCTCCAGGATGACGTCGATCTCGTCATCACGGAGGAATTCCTCCACACTAAACACGAGCGGCGTCATACTGATCGTCTCCAGCACGAGATCACCTCGGCCATAGGTCTTGTTAAGCAGTGCTACAACAAGCAGTACGTAAGAGACTCTACACCTCCACCAGCTCGACAAAAGACAAACTCACTCTTGTGGCCGACCCGAATTCCGGGCCAAATGAACTGGCCACCTTCGAACAAAAACACGATCCGATTATGCAGCGCGGTAATATCCGTCTCCAACCTCACTCCATCTGGCGTGAAGTACGCTGGCGGTTGCTTGTATTTACGCGCATACTCGTCGCTAGATTTTGGAATCTGCAGCAGCTCTTCTTCCACTGCGCGCCTAAACGTCTGAAGATCCTTCGTCGTCTCCACTGAGCTGTTCACATGCATGCCATCCTTAAACCCCGTCACCTTCAGTCTGCAAACAACACAGCAACCAATTACAGACATCTGCATTAGCGTCCCTGGTTCGAACCGCTGGAAATTAACGTTTTCACGTCGTCGTACGCGTCGATCGCCGTCGTCTCGATGCACAACACGTGAAAACCTTTGACAGGCACCACGTCCGTTAGGAATTGGTGCGCGTCGCCGCAGTCCACTGCGATTTCATCAGGCACGTAGATCTTCAGTAGGGCGCGACGCACCGCGAGTTCTAGCCCCTTTGGGTCGTGAACACACGTGGCCACTGCGATGGCCAGCAAGGCCACCACCAGCCAAGAGAAGGAGGAACCGGGGGCAGACGGCCGCGTGCGAGTCACCATAATGAAGAACACGGTGTGGGGGCGATGAAGAACGAAGCACGCTACACTGTACACTGTATTCAGAGCGCCAGGTCAACACTTAGATGCCCATCTGTTGTCCGGCAAATCGGCGCTTCAGTCAGAAGAGTTGAGTCAGGAATTTTGGGGAAAATGTTAAAAGGTGTATGGATGCACAAACGTTGTGATAGATTACCGATTTTTGATTGTAATAGTACTTTTTTATTAAATTCTAATAGTAGCTTATTTACTTAAGAGCTTCTTTTTTTTAAAACGAGCTTGGAGATTTGAAAATATTAAATACTTGATGATATTTGTTTTTACATTTTCTCTCTCAAGTACGTTTCTTGCCAGGCTCTAAAGCAGCAGTAGTAAATTACTAAAAAAAAGTCTTCAGCTCTTAATCCTGCCATTACTAGTAGTAATGGCAGGCTTAAGAACTGAAGACTTTTATTTGTTCTAGTATTTTACTGTGGCACAGACAAAACCGATCGAGATGATAAACCGCTAACGGTTGCAGTTGTTTGAAGTCGATGGAGCGAAATTAAGATATTTGTTCTTGCTATATGCCGATAGCCTCGTCCAGATCGTGCGTCTTACAAACCTGCAACCTGTGAAGCTAGAATTATGCGCTCAGCAGTGCCAGCACACCACACTATTATTGTCTAAATATTACCAAGCTGGGAAGCTAATATAAAAATATCACGTAATATTTTCTACTAAGACAAACTGATACTATTAAATGCATGAATCAACTTAGATTAGTTAAAGCGATTTTATTTTGAAAAGATTGCGTAGTCGTATTAGTCCACCATGATAAACTCCAAAATTGGTGAAGTTAATATAGTATAAATACTACCAAGTTGACAAGCTAACATAAAAATATCACGTAATATTTTCTTCTAAGACAAACTGATATTATTATATATAGCCGAGCGCCGCCGCTACGCGGCGGTAGTTTTGATTACGTCCTACTTGATAAATCACGATCGGACGGTCCACAGGTCATTCTAAAATAAAGCTGTCTGCGCATCGCAGTCGTGTCTTTTATGGCTTAACCCTTTTGGACACCTGCCGCCTTAAATATGGGGTAAATAGTGAAGGTCTCACAAAAATGAACGAAGCTGGCATTTTCCCTTTGCAATTTTTCAAGATGGAACCAATTTTGGATGAAGGGTAAAAATATTTGAAGCCCACTGGCTCAGCATTTTGAAAGAACTAAAAAAATCAAAATCACACCGATCTTGTCATTTTAGGCTACATGTAATGTATTTTTCCTAATATTTTAAACAAGTTGTGCTGGAAATGGTAGAGAGGATAAAACTTCATACATGTAGGTTAGCGTCTACGATTGAGGACGCAGACTCTTAGTGAGGTCGTTCTGCTCGTCTCCCACGTTCCACTCTCCTGCGTAGTCTGTCGAGCTTTCGGTACCATCCCAGACAGAAGATTCCGTTTTGGAGTCGTCGCTGGAAAGAACGAACGAGTAGCTCTCATTCTCACTCGACTGCGGGGTTTCCACAGGATCCACCGGTTCAGTGGGTTCCACAGGCACCAGAGGTGGCGGAATTTGAGGCTCGTCATAATCGAAATCAACGGACGCGTCACCAAACGGCTCGCTCTCCTGGTTGAAAACCTCCAGCAACACGCACAGCGGTACATCATCTGCAACACTTTCAGACATCAGGGCGCAGACACGGCAGTCTGGGATCTCGAAAAGGTTGCAGCCTGGCCCATTATCATCCACAAAGCAGTCTGCGTCGGTGACTGTCACGAGTCCGTCGCGGACCATTTCCAGTGTGGCCCGACATGATACATCTTCAAGCAGGACGGAGACGACTTTTGCGCGTGCACCGAAGGGGAGACTCATGTTGAACGCGCAGAATGCAGCGGTGTTTGAACGCCGGTCATACTGGGGATGACGGAGTGGTTAAGAGATGCCAAGAACAAGTGCTGAAGGATAGATGATGACGTCTAGTTGGAGACTTGGAGACAACTAGCTATAAATACTCGACCGGATTGATACACAGACTATCAAATGGCTGCGCAGTGGGTCAAGCTCGTTCCAGAACCCCCATTGCGACCCAGCTTGCACGCCAAGACTCTTGGCTCAACATGTTTGTCATCTTGAAGTTCACAGCAATTTTGCGTCGACGATTAGCGATTCGTTCTGAAACCTAGCGCAACATTACTGCTCAAGCCATGCGGCACAAAGGGAATTAATTAGTGGTGATAGACAAACCGGAACACGATAGGTGAATCAAACTCCACGCAACACGAAGCAGCAAGCTTGCGTCAAAACCACCAACCGGTATCATACGAAACTGCTATGCTACTCTAATTGCTACAACAGTTTCAACTCGTGAGATACTTTTTTTCGGCGGCGGAGGAAGCCAGCGACTCACCGAGCCGGGCGCTGTCGTCTCAAGCTCGCCTGTCGGATCGCGCTGCGGGCAAAGTTCCCGCTGCCGAGCCGAATGCTTTCAAGGCTGCCTTGAAGACACGGATCGCCGGCTTTTCTTTGAGAAGGCGGCTTCGAGTTCGCTTTACCAGCCACGAACATCGGAATCCCATCCACGCAACATAAGACCCACTTGCCTATCTGAGGCACTCTTCCTTCCCGAACCGACTTCCACCCGAATAACCTTTGTCAAGTCTTATATTACTTCCTCTATTTTTGGCTTCACTTGCTTTTATTAACTTCATCAACTCTGATTTATTATAGTCCCGTCTAATCCGATTTGAAAAGCTGTCTTACACTGACGCAGAGACCGGGTTCCAGGACGGACCTTGCCACTACTCATACAGCTCTAAAGTTAATCGACTTGGTGGAAAGCCCAGCACAGCTTCTCCGTGACTCCTGCTGCGTCGCGTTGTAAAGGCCTCAGAAAGAGCTCGATCATCGGCCTTCCATTCTCTAACTGCACGGCGCAAGCACCGCAGTCTTCCCCATGAATGGCTCGTCCGTGAGGCGACCACACGCACTCAGGACGCTCCGCGACCGGGCGAGGCTCGACATGTTGCTGCTACTGCTGTCGGTATCGCTGATGCTTCTCGGTGCTGCGACGTCGCCGGTCGCGGCCGCGGCCTGTACGAACGCTAGCACTTTGGTGGAGGGCGAGTCGGATTCTACCGCCGTGGTATACGACGCTGGTTGCAACGCACGCAGCTTCCAGGTCGTCGTGAGCTCCACAGTTGAGCGGAGCTTGAACTTATCCAATCTGGACGTCGTGGACGTCAGGAGTTATCCGCGCGTATATCAACTGTAAGAAACCAGAACCGGAAAACGAGGGATGCTACGTTGGACTCACACAGATTATCGTGACTTTTTAGGCTGCTCAACAATAATGAGCTCGAGACGTTCGCTCCCGCAGACTCGGACAACGACATGGAAGACTTGTGCGTGACAGACAGACAGGAGACAATTGATACAGGACACTGACCAGAGATTATTCGTTGTCGAAACAGGGAACTGGCCCATAACTTCATCGCGGACTTGTCGGGCTTCAACTTCCCCCGTCGGTTAAATTACTTGGATCTGAGCTCGAACTCGATCACCAAGCTGTCGTCGTCCACGCCCTGGCCTGAGTCGGGCGAGTTGCAGACACTTCTGCTGCACGGGAACTCGCTCAGCTCGGTGGGCGTCGACACCTTCACGAAACTGGTCGCGCTGCAGTCATTGTACGGATAACGGACTCAGAACTAGCGACTGTGATCGAAGCGCTGACGTCTAATGCTGTTGCAGGTCGCTATCGAGTACGGGTATCTCCAACCTGGACGACCTCATGTTGCCGGTCTCGCTGCGTACGCTAAATGCGACCAAAAACTCCTTCACGAGCGCGTCCACCAACTTTTCCACCCTCCCCACAGCTCTGCAGTATCTGTGCGTACCGAGCTCTCTTATATCTTGACACTCAGACACTCGTACTAACCCCATCTTTACACTCCAGAGACCTGAGCAGCAACCTCCTCACAGTTTTCCCGACCATCGTGTCTTCTCTCACTACACTCGTGGAGTTGTACGTTGCTAACTGCATCCACTTGTTACTTACTGTAATGTATATCTAATGTGCTGTATGACCTTCAGGAACCTCGAGTCCAATGGAATCAAACAGATCAGCGGCGTGACCTTCGCGTCAACGCTCCGTAAAGTCTACTTGGGGGACAATCCGTTGTCTACGATCGAAATCTGCCGCTCGGACGTCAGTGTGTTCCAGAGTCTGGCAGAGTTTAAGGCCCCGTCGTCCATCTCGAGCACGTGCTCGAACGCCAAGGCAACAAGCGAAGAAATTAACGGCGTCAACTTCTGCGTGCTGGAGGACGAGGACTGCGTCATCGTCTCTGCAGTTGACTCGACAGGTGGCAGTATGGCGGACGTCAACAACATCTCGAGTTCAGGTGACGCAGCCGCGTCCGCGGAGAGTACGAGCTCGGACTCGTCCTCTATTTTCTCGGCTGAGTCCATCGCAGTCATCGGAACCACCTTCTTCCTTGTCGGCATCCTGTTGAGCGCCTTAGTGTTCGGGTTTATGTGGAACAAGCGGAGAAACGATGACGACAGCCCGTCGCGTCGTGCTGCTATGAAGGTGAACCGGGACAGACGGCTAGGAAGCAGCGGCGGCAACTTCATGGTGTTCACGAGCAGTGGACGCATCACACGTGCCGTTGGCATTAACCACGACGAGTACCGCGACACCGACAGTAAGAACGGGAACAACAGCACGTTCGGCGATAGCGGCGCGAAAACGCCGGGCGAGGCGGCTTGGGGCGTGTACGAGAGTCCTCTGGACAAGTACAACCCCGTCGCTCTGCTCGAACCGAGTCCCAAGGACAATAGCTTCCTCGGGGCTAGCACCGCGTCACTGCAGGTGCGCAGCAAGATCAAGAGCAAGATCGATCTGGACGACCTGCTCGTGTACGAGATTCCGCCCGAGGAGATTCAGATGCGCCGCGGACTGCACATGTCGTCATCCAAGAAGAGTAGTAAGGCCGCGTTGGCCTTGAGCAGCGTGGGTGTGGGTAACTCGCGTAAGAAGGTGGATATGGCGCTGTACCTTGCTGAATACCAGAGCTACAAGGTGGTGATTCAGGCGCTCATGCGCTCCAAGAAGCGTCTGGAGACGCGCTTCGTGGAGCAGATCCGTCTGGCCGCAGCACTGGACCACGCGTCTATCGTGCACTTTATCGGTGTCACTACTGGGTGCAGCACGGCAGCCAGTCGTCGACGTGGTAGCAGCGCTGCGGCGCCGGCACAGGGCCCGTACAATAGCTACGGCCCGACAAACAGCATGAGTGAGAGCATGGCGGCTAAGAGCAGGTACCCGAGCATGGGCGCGCCAGCGTGGCACCTAGGTGTCGTGTTTGAATACATGCAGCACGGTTCTCTAGCGGCAATGTTCGAGTCCGAACGCCACCGTCGCGAAGGCAAGGGATTCTACCCGAACAGCAGCGTGGCGGCGGCGATCGGCAGCGGCAACGGCAACATCTTCAGCTGGTACCCGGTCTTCGCGAACTCGAGTGCCAGCGTGAACGCCAACCCGAACGCAGATTGGCGGTGTAAGCTTTCTATCGCTCTAGATGTGGCCATGGGTCTAGTCTACCTGCATGCCAACAACTACGCGCACGGCCGTGTGTGCGCGCGCAAGGTGTTGGTGAACGAACAGGGCGAAGCGAAGCTCAGCGCGATGGATATATTGTTGCCATCGGATCTCTCGTCTCGAAAGGACGAGAACAATCACACGACAGAAGACTTCCGCGGCTCGTTGAGGGAGAGCGCTCTATGGACGATGCAAAAAATCACAGGTTTACGTCCGACACGCTCGTCCAAGGCCATGAAGCAGCAGACGTCCGGCAACTTGGGCCGTAGCCGCTATGCGAACAACAGCGGAGAGAGCGACGTGAGTGGGGTGAGTGGAGTTAGCAGCGTAACACTGGATGACAACCACAGCCAGAGCGGCGACAACCCGGCGTTCGACGAAGCGTCTGACGAGTTCGATGAGAACTCGCTAAAGTCCAGCGGCATCGGGTCGTCCGTTGTGGCGGCCCAGCGCGACGACGTCTACGCTTTCGGCACGTTCCTGTGGGAGCTGGACACGATGATCGCCGTGGAGGAAGACTTGGCCAGCTCAAGGATCCCCGCCGGCGCCGGCGGCAACGCGCACCTACTCAAGTTCTCGGCGGACTGTCCGGAGGAGCTGCAGGAGCTGGCGCGACAGTGCTGGCATGAGGTGCCGAGCGAGCGTCCGGACGCCATCGACGTGCAGGAGGAGCTGGTCCGCGTGCTGGAGGGCCGTCTTACTGTGAGTGGCCAAGCTCCGCCCAACTGGACGCGACCCAGCTACCTGAGTGTCACCAGCGCACTGAGCAGTCTATCAAGCTCCGAGTTATCATCAAACATGTCTTCGCTGCCGAGCTCTTGCTCTGTGATGGCCGTGTCTGTGGCCGACCTATAAAAAGGGAGGGCTTTGATGTATTTATTCGCTTCCCAGACGTTGGAGCACAATTTTGCCAGCAAGTTCCAAGTGTGTCTTTCGTGTGTGAACCGCGGATCATCGTCACTCGGAGACAGTTATTACTCCGAGTATCGCAATCGCTATGCGGGTTGCTGGCAGCTTCGAGGTGTCCCCGAGCGGAAGGGAACGAAGCTGTCGAGCGTCTAGCATAGACTTTAGAAAACATATAAACACCGTAACAAGTGAGTGACTTCAACCCGGTACTCCTTTAGTCGTGTCGGCAAGTTCGTCGCTACATCAGCACGTCGTCGAGCAGAGTAACGCTGGCGTCAAGGTTTCCCATGCGCGTGTGTCCTACACGCACAGCCCGTTGGTTTGCTGTTTAGCCTCATTGTTGATCCGTACGATGACGGCGGCGGCGACGTACGGACACACGGCGCATTGCTATTGTAGGCGACATTGAACATTGGGCCAGAATCTAGAGAGGCGTCTACATTTAGGAAAACCTATATCGACATTTAGATATAGGGTGCAATCATGCGTTTAGATTTCGATTTTGTGGTAATTTTTAGCCAATTCCCAGCCGTTTTGGAGCTACAGTCGTTTTAAAGTGCCCTCTCAGAACACTGTCATTTTCGGGGGAAAGGCGCCCCAAATCCACAGATATGATTGGTCTAGAATAAAAATCATATGTCAAAAAGGAAGATGACACATCGCCCGGTCGCAGATTGCCCTTGTCGATTTAACATTCAATTCTGCCAGCAGGATGGTGAAAAAAATTATAAAGGTAATATACATGGATTTTGTTTTGTTTTTATGATCTACTGTTCTAATTCCTTCTGGGCTTTGTACAAATATTAGTTTGAAAAGGAAATGTTACAGCATCAGTTAAATTGATATACCTCAAAATCAGTGTCTGGGTTATTCTTTTTCTCATTAACCACGGAGTCAACGGTGTTGGGAGCACAACCAAGGCAATCATTGGCATGTCCGGATGCCTTTGAAGAGGCCTTGTTCCTTCTGGCTTTTGAAATACTCGTAGCCGTTCACAATCACCCGCTTCTCTCCTGGGCAGAACTCGTGCTTGCCGGACATTTTCGCTGACCTTAAAGGATGCTTCTGGCTAATTGATGAGTTCTACCGCCCTCTCAAGACACTAAGTTATATATAGCACTTTTATTTATATCAAACAGACAATTATTAGACTTTTTACAGTCTGTATAGTATGGGTTACAATTTCTGGCCCAATGTTCAATGTCGCCTACAATATTAATAAGGCAAGTCGAAGCCATCAGCTGGTCGCGGGTAATCTTTGCATGTCTTTTGATTTGCAAGCCTTTGGGGCAGGTCAGGACCAGAATCTCTCGCCGACTTTCGTGAGCCAATCTGTCACTCAGGAAGGGTAGCAACGGGCACAGCATTAGGTCCATTTCGACCACCGTGACTCATGAATTGCAGCGAAAGTGTCCGATATCTAAGGTTCGGATGCTGATGGAATCACGCGTAGCATTCGCTGCACCGCGAGCTGTCGGCCATTCACGCAGCTTAAATAGCCTGGCACTGGAGCGTAAGAACTCGGTGCCGGCGTGTGGCGTCGAGCTTTCCAGTCGGGATCCGACAACGCGGCGAGCACGCAAACCATCTGGCGTGCCCTGTCACCTACAACTGGTCTCTGACCCATACAAAGTTGCAGTGCTGTCATGACTGTCTTCTCCATTTGGCGGCTCGCTCTCTCTGCTTCTTGGCAGACTCTTATCCCCCAGTCTCAATTGAACTAATCACGGGCTAATTGGGGTCCGTGCACCGGTGGGCGACCATTTTTAAGACGCTGCTTCGTTCCGTCGAGGGCGGCAAAGCCGACAACACCTCACGCGGAATGCGGCGCGGAGCTCCCACGTCGCAAGATAGCGTGGGGCCCAGACCCACCTACGGCACGGCCACTACGCCCCGCTCACAGCGATCCGCGGCTACCACGCCACGTTCCCAGCGCTCCGGTTCGGCTTCCCACGGCACTGTCCTCGTAAACCTCGACGGTACGCTACGCAACGCGAGATGCTTCGTTGCGTCTGACTTACCACACGCCGTTATGTGCCATTTACAGTGTTCATCCACCGGGCCAACATCGGCCGCGACATCAGCCCGAACGACGAGGACCTGATCGTGCTTTTCCGTCGTAACAGCAAGGAAGTATCGTCGGAACCTGCGCGCTGGAGTGCCGAGCACTGTGCCGTGTGGAACCAGCACTTGGCTATCCAGACGTCGCTTCTCAAACACAAGAAGCCTCAGCAGGGCGCGACGGCCTCCGAGTTCCTCAAGAAAGAATACGAGATCGTGCTCGTTGCGGTAAGTTTGTCGTACCTTTGCGACCGGGCCATCCTCTTCCATAACTACGCGGCCATCTGACCACGAACCATTACAACTATGGCCAGTCGCCAGTTGGTCCATGTGGCTAGTGGAGTCTTGGCCTGGACGCCCCGAAATACTGTGTAACCAGCGTTTCTGACTCTTATGTGTGTGTCTTTGGCTGTACCCAACTTTGATTCCATGTAGCTGCCCAGCCATTCCGCTGTCGCACTCTTCTCGCTGGACTTCGCCACGCTTGTACAGCTGAACGCCAGCCCACAGGACCGACACAAGTCCTTCCGCATTTCACCTCTCAAGTGTCGAGACTTGGCGGCCACGCTTGAGTTCGATATTACGTGGGAGCTGGTTCAACCGCCTAGCAGCTCGCAGGCCAACACTGCAGCCAACATGATGATGCATTCCAGCACCAATTCGCACGTGACTGGGTTGGCTGGTTTGCCGCCGTCATCCACTCTACTAAATAAGAGCGCGCAGGGTCCTAAAACGCAGACACCCAAGGCTCAAACGCCGCGTTCTCGAGAGGCGTCCAAGTCCCGACGGGGCGCCAATGAGACGTCGTCTGTATCGACGCGACGGACGACAGCCAGTCTCAGCTCGGCCGGTAGCGAGCGCGAACTACTGGAGGAGCTTTCGTCCTCCAACTGCAACAACTGTCGCTCTGCTAAGCGCAGACTCGATCGAAAGGAAGTACAGGTGCTGCAACTCGAGTCGTTCTTGAAGGAGTCTCAGAAGCGTATCGACGCGCTGTCCACCGAGAACGAGGAGCTGCTTATTCGTGAAAAGGCCGAGACGCGCAATGCCGCACAACAGCGTGCACTGACGTTGCGTCTGCTACAGGAGCTGGAGACGGCCGTGCAGCTTTGCAACAACCAGATGCAGGTTCAGGACATGACGTTGTTGCCTCAGGTGGAGCTGATCGAGCGTGTGAAAAAACTACACGAGGAAGCGGACCCGCTGCATGGCCACGTAGAGAGCTCTCGCCCTTCACACACATCACAGACGTCGTACGGCTCCACATTCGACTTCCGAGCCGAGACAGAGGCGGCGTTGCAGCGCAACCAGCGACTACAGCAACAACTTGAGTTCCTTGGCCGCTCTATGGACTATGATAGCGAATCAGCCGAGCCCGTCACGCGGTCTCATCGAGCAGCTACAGATACGTCGGGCACTACGATCTCTTCCGCGCGTAGCGGTAGCGTCACGGTGGAGTGCGAACCTCGACCGGTAGCGCTGACAATGACACAACAGCTCAACAATCTCGAGCGTGAGAACTTTAAGCTACGCGCTGAGCTCGAGGGAGCGCTGGCCAATGCTGCTCGAGCTCTGAAGAAGCACTCGGGCGGGTTCCCGTCTGGTTTGACGAACGGTCTGTCGCTCACTGCTGAAGTGTCGGAGACGACGAGCTCGTCTAGTCGTGAGGACATCGAGGAGCCTGAAAACGAGGACGCGGCGCTACTGTCTCGTATCCGCGAACAACACGAGCTCGAAGCCGGACGTTCAGCAGCACTTGAGTCGGAGCTGGACAAGGCCAAGAGTGAGATTGACAAACTCAGGGAGCAGCTGGAAGTTGTGCAGAACGATCGTCCGTCCAAGGAGGAGAAGGCGCCGTCGCAGGCGCCTGGGTTCCTGGACAAGATCTACGCCGACGTCGGCAAGGCCAAGATGGTGCTTGAAGACCGTGTGAAGCAACTGGATGAGATGCTGGCGAATGCGACGGAAGAGAACGGACGTCTCCGCAGTCAGGTCGAAGAGCTCCAGAAGCAGAAGAGCAGCAGCCAGGACCAAGCAACAACAGCGGAGATGGAAGCACACATTGCTGAACTCGAGAGGCTACTGGAACAGCGAGAGAAGGAGGCGAAGGTGAAAGAGGGAGAACTGGCGAGAACCAAGAGGCAGCTTCAGGATGCTGAGACTCGAGCTCGTGCAGGTGAGAGTGCCAAGTCCGAGCTTGAGAGTGAGCTTGCAGGTGTACGTCTTTCCCTCAAAATGGCACAGGAAGCAACTGCGCAGCTGGAGAACCAGCTGGCGATGATGTCGTCGAGCGCTGCTCCCGCGACGACCACGTCCACGTCCTTCGTATCTCACAAATCGTTCGCTAGCGACGCTACGGGACACAACGACGAGTTAGCTGAGATACAGAAGCAGCTGAAGTTGTCCAAGCAGGAAGTGATGCAGCTCCGTTTCCGCAGCAACCAGCTCGAGAGCGTCCACAAACGTCTCGAAGACGCACTCAAGGAGAAACGTACGTTGGAGGTGAAGCTGACAGCCCTGGAAGGCCAGCTCTTCGAGCAGCGCAGTCGCACGATCAACACGGACAACAGCAGCTTCACTGCTCCGTCGCTGGACGCCAAGAGCTCAGCTATGTTAACGGACATGCAACGCGAGCTAGACCAGAAGTCTGCTCAGCTCATGATCGCGGAGCGAGAGGTGGAGCATCTGCGTGGCCAACTGACCGACCAAGGCATCGAGATCACGAGCCCTGGCAACATCGAAGACGTGGCGGATAAGGTCAAGCAGTTCGAGAACGAGATTGCGCGTCTGTGCCAGCGCAACGACGATCAGGCCAGGAAACTGGAGAAACTCGGAGCGCGCGTGACGGTCGCCGTTCGCGAGCGCGATGAGCTTGAGGTGATCGTACAGCAGATGGTCACGGAGATGTCGCTGCTGGGCAAGGACGTGACGCTACCTCGCACTTGCCGCACGGCTTCGATCCCTGAGACGGATGAGCTGGAGGAGAAGTCGCCGTCGATGACACGCCGCCCGCCGCCGATGCAGACAAGCAAGATCACCGACCGCTATGCGAACGCCGTGGCGTCCAGCGCCAGTGCGTCTCACGCGCCCAGCTCTATAACGCCAGGCGTGGCCAGCAGCAAGGTGGCGCAGCTCATGAAGAACTTTTCCACTCAGAGCAGCGACGACGGCAGTCCCGGCGTGTCACCGAGCGGCGTGGCCTTCAAAAAGCCCACGAAGCTAGACTTCCGCAACCGCAAGGCGTCGAATACCAGTCACCGCAGTAACGACGGTTAAACAAGCCCTTAATTATTTGATGTGAAAAGCAGTACAAGGAGAGGAATGAGGAGGATAAACAACGTTAAACCGTAATCAAAGGTCAAGTTGAAGTAGCGAGTTTTTCTCCCCTCGCGTCTGTTAGATCCACGTATTCTGTGGTAGATTACCTGGACGAAGGATGTGGTACGGCAGCGTCTCGTGCTCCTCGTTGGCCACGATGAAGTTGTCGATGGCCTGCAGCTCTGCGCCGTACGCTCCGATGGCTGGTAGTAGTCTCGGGTCGTCGATGAACGGGGACACGTGATACACCGACTTCAGCGTCGTCTCCTCCGGTCGTGGACGATTGAAAAGTGCGCTGAGGAATATCATGGCGGGGAAGAGCTCGCGCGGCTGCAGGTAGCTGAACAGATCGATCTTCGGGTGACCATCACGCTCCTTGTGACTCGGCAATGGCTTCCAGAGCGCAGCGGCGCTGTAAGGCATGGCCACGGTCGTCCAGGTCACTTCTCCGTTCATCGCGTGGTGCTTGACGACACTCTGATAGATGAGTCTCGTCAGGAGTTTGCGTAGGATTTCTTTGTCTTTGAATGCCGTCGGGAAGGCGTGCAGATGCGGAATCGTAGCACACGCGACAGCCCATTGCTGCAGCTCCACGTCCGTCTGCACAGCGTCGTCGTCCGCGTAATAAACGTCTAGGAAACTACTTACAAACGAGGAGATGGCGTCGGCGTGGAGTTTCCCGTACGCCACGTACTTGTGTGGCAACTGCTGGATGCCTCTCTCCTTGGCGTCGCTGTACACGTCGTCCAGCAACGAGATGCGGGTGCGTTGGTCCTCTAACAACCGGACGCACCCGGCAGCTCCGATCCCGAAGGTCCGATCCAGCGGCGTGGACGTGTTAAAGAGCACAACGCCAGCCTGTTGCTCCAGACCAAAGTCCAGAGCGAAGTGACGCAGTAACAGAGCTCGCACAGGGTGTTTCTCTGCAAGCGTTCGATACAGCTCCACTCGGATCGGGATCGACAGCGTGTGACTCTCGGAGAAGTGCTGCATCTGCTGGAACGTGGCCTCGGCGGCATTCAGTGCCGTCTTGGCCAGTTGCCACTCGTCCGGAGAGTCGAACGGCGTGTACGTGATACCCGAGTCTACGAGTTTAATAGCCAAAGGCAAGAGTTGCTCGTTGAAGCAGAAGTAGCCGATCACGGACGGCAGATACTTTCCAGCCACAGTATCGCTCACTTTCTCGACTCTAGACACGGACGGGTCTCCCCATTGACCGATGGTAGCCAGATCTACTACGAACAGCTTCTTGTCGGCTCGAAGAGACCGCAGTGAAGCTCCAGCTCCACACACTTTCTTTATGTTTTCGGCACTGAGCGTCTCGTCCTCTGGGTCGTCATCAGTGTCTCGAATGGCTCTCAAGTTGAAGCCGCGTAGACTCAATCGGGAGGCTCCGAAGCCGACGTCTCCGTGGTCCACAGAGTCTGTGGGGGCGTCCACTATGGGGTGAAACAGCTCGTAGAAGCGCGTATAGGCTTCCGTTGAGGTAAGCTGCGGTAACCAGCGCGTGGCCAGCGCGGCCATGAGCTCGGGCGTGTCTGGTTTCAGAGCACTAAGCTGTACGAGGTCTTGAGTTTGTAGCTTGGCAAAGACGGAGCCTGGTCGAGCTACTGGACCCACGTAGACCGGTAGTTCTTGACCGTCGATGGGCCACGAACGTTTCTCGTTCTTGAGATTGTTGGCCATGTACGCGATCTCAGCAGCACGGTCGACGGTGTGGACGACACTCAAGGAAGAGACGAAGGATTCGTTGGCAGTCCAAGTTGAAGTGGCCGTGAGGTTGACGGTGCAGACGTCCGAGAGTTCGTCAGATGACAGTAGAATCGGCTGGAAAGTCAAGTAGAACCAGCTCCGGGTGAGCGCGACAGCGACACCGGCAGCCCCGAGGAAGTACTTCATCGATTGAAAAGCTGGTTGGAAGGCTGCTGTGTGTCGGAGCTGGCAGGATGGAGAATGAACTTAGCGCAACACGTCGCCGTGTGTCTTGCATCATCAAAGGCGAAAGTCTACTCGCCATGCAAGGATAAATACCTTGCATCATCCGAGTCAGGGGTTCCGAAAATGCTATTTATATTTTGTTGGAGGATTCAGCAATACAAATAATTTTACCTATCTCTCCGTCAGAGGTGCCTGCAATAATTGAACATATTGCAAGAAATATATAGGAGTTTGTATGGAGAATAAGTATTGGGAGATTATTGCGCTCCCCGAACGACCTTGCGCACAGTGGCTGCGCTCCAGTACGTGCGGTTCACCTTTAAAAAGAGGATACTCTCGAGATGCAGTGGAGTCATGGCTTGGCGGTGCATGCCAACCACTGCCTTCGCCTGACTAAAGAATCTCTCCACGATGTTGGAAGTCGGAGCGATCATAGACACTTGATCGCTAAAGCGTGAAGTAGTTTGACGAAGTCGTCTCGCCTGCTCGAGCGCAATTGCGGCAAAACCTTTACCTAGCGCTGTTGTCTCCGACGAACTCGATGGAGGAGCGTCTTCCGGGGCTAGCGGCTCAAGCATAGTCTTCTCATCGTCAGACAGCGATCCCTCACGACCCAGCAGGACATTAACACAAGCTCGCTCGAAGACAGGACTCTTGACGATCTCTGCGTCGGCTTGGAGGTACTTGGCGACTTCGGGTTTCTGAGCAATAAGCGCGTCAAAGAGGTCGCGCACGTCGAGTAGCGTTATGTCGTCCGCACTTTGCAGCTTTTTAGAGGTTGATTCGTACATCTTGAGGGTGTTGAGGATCGTCTTCAGCTGCTTTTCCTCTCGGCGTGTTGGCATAAACTCCGCCAGCTCCTCTTCAATGTCATCACTGATGAACTCCTTCAGCTCAAAGTATCTGTTCACCATGGCAAACGTCGATGACCAGCGAGTGTCCTGCTTAGGGACTGGTCGAAGAAGTGTTTTTCGCCTAGCATAATAAAAAATAATCAGATATCAGAAACTAAAATTAGTTGAATTAACCCACCGTAACTTTGCGGACACCAACAGCGAATTTTTCACCTTGTACATCAACTTCTGGATCTTAGTGATCAGCTCATCGTCGCCAGAGAGGAGCAAGTTTACCGCCAGGTTCAGACGATGGCTGGCACAGCCCACCATCGAAACCTGCAGCAGATCGGCAACAGCACCGTTCACGGAGCAATTATCTCCGACAATGTAGACAATATTGGCTTTGCTCCGGCCATAGTAAGAGAGAATTGTGTCCAGAAACTTAACGTGACTGCGGGCTGTGTGGTCGCTGACCTCATCGTCGACAAGTGGCGCCATTGCGACCAAAATGTTTTGCGTTTTGCCATCGTGGCGAAAGGATGCAAAGACTGCGACGTAATGCTCTGAACGGAAGGTCCACCCGTCAAAAATGATGCCAAACGACTTTGGCAGAATACCAGCGATCACAGTTTCAACTTCACGGACTAGTAGGCACATGTATTTCACGAGGCTGTCCGTCGAAAGGCTCCCAATCCTTACGTAGTTAGATGCCGCGTCTGTCTCACAGAACGAGAAGGGCAGATTGCACGAGAGCACAACGTCAATCCAAGAGAAGACTTTGTGAGTCTTGTCATCGACGAACCCAACTAACGTTTCCGTATTTAAGCTGGCGCTTGTCATGTCCGCAACGAAGTTTGTGTGCCACATGAAGACGTGGCCAAGTAGGTTTGTGTAGCCAGTGTTAGGCTCCATTCGGCGCTGGACACCACAGCGACACTTGTATACTGCAGTAGGCTCTTCATCATCGTCGAGTACAGCCGTGAAATAGAAAGATGACACTTGCTTCGACGTGAACGGGTGCGTGCGGACCATCTTCTTCGACGTCTTGGCCTTCTTGGCTTTCTTTGGCGCTCTGGGCGGGGCGGAAGCTTCCTTTCGACGCGGCTTTGGAACGCTCCACGGGGTCTTCGCAGGCATCGTATTGAGTAGAGTAGACAATGGGCTGTGAGTGTATTGCTCCAGCTAAGAAATGCTAAATTGTTGGAGGATGATGCGCCATAAATCGATGAACGTGCTCCATTCGAAGAAGTGATTGTGAACCGGTCTCAGGAGACCGGTTCGCAACAGGGTTATTGGTGACATAGAGCACAAAACAAATATTGCAGCCCTTCTAAGCAAATCTAAAAATAAATAATTTTTCGGTTAAAATACAAAAGTATTTAATAAAAATAGTATTTTCGGAACCCCTGATCCGAGTAATTCTGTAAAATGATTCCTTTAACCCCTCTATAAAAATATCAAAATCGCGTGAAGCTCTAAGAACTAACATATAAACGAGAACTAAAATATAAACGAGAACTAAAAGTGGTCTCAGCGCTCGATATGCAGCCTGCGGAAGGAATTATGAGTAGAGTGTTCAATACAATTTTGCGCGAGATCGACCAAAGCATTTATAATTATCGTCGAGATAATAATCATTTGGGATTTGGGTGATGCTTTTCAAGATTGGCGTGTGGTGGCGTTCTCTTCTGTGTTCATTCCAGCATCTACGAAGATTCACACACCACGATGACCTTATCTACTGCCGTCAGGGCCCTAGCTCTCCTCGCTCTCTTGACTCTTGATGTAACATTTGCCGACCCAAGTCCACCTCAACAGCTTCGCCCCCAGCACTCTGTCGAGCTGCCACCAGCCAGAGAACTGCAAGGGAAGTTCGGCTGGGCTGCATGGCTCGCCGTTCTTAAAACCAACATAAGGTATCAACCTACAGGCGACAAGATGCTTGAAAATCTGAGGAAGATCAAGGAGAAGCTCCAACGCTCAGACGAATAAAACACGATAGTTTTTCTTACAATCAAACGATTCCTTGCCTCAAGAACTTCCGTCAGCTGTAACGATACTAATCAATCCAGCTCCGTGATACATGTGCCGGTGTTTGCAGGCACAAATTGGTGGTGTCGATACCGCGTGTTTGCGTTCATCTGACTCGTAAACTGGTACACGGATTCCGACTTCTTCTGTAGCTCCTGCATCCTCCGTACCAGGTCTGCTTGAGAGTTCCCCACATTACCTGTTTGATTAGGGGTGTATGTGTATGTGATCTCGGGATCTTCACTAATGTATTGAGGTTGGTGTTGCTGACGAGGCTGAAACGGAGTCAGCTCGATGCTCGAATCTTCTTGGCTGCTATCGCGGTCCCTAGGAGACGGCAGCGTCGAGGCAAACGAGCTGACAGACGACTCGAGCTTGGAGCGACCGCTGTCCATCCTACTAACCAGCAGCTTAGGCTTGACGACGTCTTGAAGCTGTTTGTCGTCCCGTCCTCGAAGCTTATTGGTGTCACTTCCTGGCGTCCAGAAGCACATCTCAGTAGTTGTGTCTCTCGAGTAGCTGTGCTCCGAGTCCTCCTTAGAGTTAGACATAGAGCTCCTGGCTTGCTGTGCTGGAGTCTCCCCGTATCGAACAGGGGCAGTGCGCGCCATCTCGTCGATCCCGTAGGCAGCTTCGACTTCTCGCCGTGCCATGACACGGGCATCCATGTGACTGGCGTTCATCTTGCAGTTCTTGCACAATACCATCGTCAGACACCGCACTTGGCCACTGGCTTGTCCTTCGTCCCAGCTCCTGCTCTGTGTGATACTAGCAGTTGTGTCTCGCCGCTTCACGAAGCTAAGGTCGCGACTTACGCGGCATCGCGAGCACATCTTCACCTGGCACAGGTTACACGATGCCACGCTGTTCAGGACGCCGAACTTGCGCTCACAAATGCCGCAGCGGTTCGACGACGTCTTCGGCTCCGGCTGCATACGCCGAAACTCCGCTGCTGCGCCCTTACAGGTCAGCAGCCAGCTCAGTTTCTTACTCTGGCCACATGTTGCAGCCTCCGTGACTCCACTCAGCATCAGATTTGTCATCATAGTAGCCGCCTGATAGTCCTGCATCTTGCCCTTGAAATCCACGTAGCCTCTTGAAAAAACGTCGATCTGCACTGAGCTCCCCTTGGCCGAAGTAAACAGCGAACAGGTCGACAGCCAGCCTTTGGTAAGCCCTCGATTCTCCAGCTCTCCGCACGCTGGCATATCTACCGACTGGCACAGGTAGTAACCGACCTCCTGGGTATCCGAAGCACCAGGAACTCGGTGTCGCACAACACCTGATGCCACGAGGAGCATGAAATCGCGAGAGTGACGAGAGCTTGACTTAACTCGAGACGGTTCGCCTCGTACAAGCCATTGGACACCGAGAAACCGGAACGGCTCCTCTGTGCTTGGTGTCTGAATACAACTGACCATAGCTGTGTCAAGCACCTCCGCGTCCAGCATGTAGCGTAGCCGGAGCTGCAGCTCAATGGTGTCTGTCGCCACGAGTCCGTACATGGCGTCGTTGAGAGTACCGTCAATATGCCCCGTGATCGCAATCGAGGCGATCGAAGATGAGCCTGTGAGTGCTGCAGAAGACGTCGCATGAGCCATCTCGGGAGTGTACGCAGCCATCGCCACTGCCTTTGTGGGTCGCTCTGTCGATGAGGTGGCCGAGTGGCCAGAGGCTGATCCAGCTGAAGTCTTTGAAACTCGATTGGTGATGGAGTTGAGCTCCGGATGCGTCGGTTGTCGCTCCTTGAATACGTTGAGACCTTCATGAGTCTTGAGCGGCTTCCACTGCCATTTGTCATGCAGCGGGTTCTTTTCCTTTTGGCAGGCGTCTACTTGTGTGTCGTATTCACGGAGTGTATCGTTTAGTAGCTGCCGGGCTTGGCATTCAAAGCGACGTGCTAGTTCTGACGTCACGTGGATGGCGGCAAACGGATCCCTATTTCTCATTCCGGCGTTACTTTCGTGCAATGCCAAACGTAAAGTGGGTAGGACGTTAGTAGGCTTGACCTGGAATTTCAAGAGGGAGAGCTGAGCATCCTGTTCGGACACATATTGTCGACTTTTACTCGGGTAAGAACGCATGTTACCGCGGGTCAAGGGGAGCCATGAACAGCAGGCACGCCGATCACTTGGATGGAATTAGTTCAATGTAAATTAAGTGCTGGTTCCTGCCAAGCTAAATGCGTTTACACATGTACGTCGAAGTATAAATACACCCTCTGCAGTAGCACAAGCAGTTGCCACACTACACATACGGTATTAAGATTGCAAACGCGCGCGTGGTGTACCGCAATAAACAAGCAGTGCCTTTGGGTTTCGTGGCTTTGTCTAGTGCATCCACGAATGGCGCCACCAGCCGCTGCGTTTCCTAATGGTCGACCGGCCACGGGAGTAAAGTATGACTGGGATTTACTGTCGGGAGCTTTCGAAATCGCTTATCATCGATTGCATTCGCGGCATACATGTACTTGAAGTACAGTACTGTAATGAAGTACATGAACAGAAGCCCCCCCTGAATTAGCGTAGGGTTTAGACGAGATATGTTTTCTCTTCAAAGGAAGTATTACCCCATGGCCAAGATGGGGCTAGCGCGAATCCGTGCTGAAATCGAATCGTCTAAGAACCTTGGCTGGAATCTTGGTCTTCACAAGAGCATCTTCCAAGCTCGTAAATGGACGCTTCTTCGCGATTCGGGCACGGTAGGTCGGGTCTACACCCTCCACGAACTCCAGCTGGACCTCGGAGCTCGTGTTGATGCACTTTAACGGAACAGACTTGATGAAGCGTGCACGAGCAGCAAATGGGCCGTAGTACGCTTCCCAGCACGTGGCATCAACAAACGCGGAATTTGGCAGCATTCGTAGGTCAGCCGTCACTTGAGTCGTGCAATACAAGATGAAAAGGTCGTCGGGACCAGCAGCCTTCGACCGCTCTTGCTTGAAAACGTCCAGTGATAGCTTCCCTTCGTCGCACTTACAGTGATGAACCTCGTGAAAGAAGCCCTTCGTCGCATCTTCCAGACACAGAAATGCATCTCTAGACGGAGACCCGTGTGCAGATTGATACAGTAAGCACTTCCCTTGATCATTACCGCAAGAGCACCTTCCTTTCTGAAATCGTTTGGTCTTCGTTGGCATCCGCTTGTCAGCAAGCGCATACGTCAATTGCCGCTCAATAACGCGTCGATTGCATCCATCGCCAAAGCGTGCCCCATGATGTATATCCGTCCATAGCACAGGTTCCTCCTGGGCGAAAGCTTGCGATTTCAACGCTCGGAACTTGCCGTGGAAATGCTCCCAACGTTGCCAAGGTTTCAGGTCTTTCAACCGTTCTGCTGGTGCGTAAGTAGCTGGTTTGCTCCATGGAATATCATGCGTTTCCAGCAGCATATAGAGAATGAACGGGCATTGGAGTCGAGTTCCCTCGAGCCGAATCAACCCACACGAGATAACTTGGTCTAGCGTTAGATTTCCAAAAAGCGAATTTCCATCGACCCACCGACGAGAAATTACCGCAAGAAATGCTTGCTTCATACTCTGCATCTGGGCAACAATCGCAGGGTACGCCTGTCGTATGGCAGCCAGCACATTGTGCATCACCGGAATGAATTCAAAAGCTTGCCCCTGGTTTCGCAGCATCACCTTGAACAATTCTTCCAATGCTCTGCCATGCCCGCCCATGTCATCCACCAATAGCTGCGTCAAAGCTTCATTGCCATCGTTGAATGTATCAAATACGTCTCTTCCGTTGATCTTCGGGCGCTCCAATGATGTCGTCTGCAGCATCTCTCTCCATTGTGGCGAAACGGCCAGAAATTCGTCCACTGGCTGGTAAATAGTCGCCGCGCAGATCACAATCAGCCAGCACTTGGAGGCATTGACGAGGCCACACAGCGACGCAAACGCCGTATAAAACTCGGAACGCTTGCTTCCTGGTTCATGCTGAAGCTTTTGCAAGCTGTCGACACAGAGAATCACGCACATTTGGCTCGAATCAGTTCCGGTGATTGTCGATAATTTTGACAATACTTGTGCAGGGATAACATGATTCGCATGATCCAACAGAAATTCCTCCCAGACGACCAAATCCTGCAGTTGGTACAGCATTCGAGTTCCAATTGCCTGGCCCGGATCAATAAAATTACCTGGCTTGGTTGTTCCATTTTCAAAGGTAATCTTGAAATTGTAGGCTGTCTGCAAGAGCTGCTTCATCGCTGGATCTCCTTGCGTCTCATCTTGAAAGATTTGCTGCTGCAAGATATTCGGAAATTCGTCAAGCAATCTCGACTTTCCAGTCCCGGGGCCATCTAAGCACACGAATAGCGGATGAGTTCGCTTGTCCGTCTTTCCATCTCTCCAAGCTTGATAATGACAACCTATGGCGGATGCAAGGTTGCCAAGATCCAATGAATTCTGGAAATCCCATTTCGCACCAGTCGTCCCGACCAGAGGCTTTGGCTCCTTCCAAACGAACGATTGCTGCGATAACGTCGGCACTTGCACAATGAACGCATTCTCTTCATTATTCCCATACGCCGTCACGGGGGACCACGACTGGGGCAGCAGCACGCTTCGCTTCGCACCGTACTCCGCACGGTTCGTGAATACTGTGAGATCGGCCGCAGCAACGTTCGCGAGAGCGCTCGGAAACTCTTTCTTCACTGCCTTTCGGAGCGTATCAACATCTTCAATATCCACACCAACAGAAGTCGCCGAGGTGAGATCCTTGCCGTTCTCGCCCAAGAGCAGGGAACCATTTACGCGCCGCCATGCCAGGCGCTCGAGAAAGCACTCACGATATAAAATGTGAGGTTGAGCTCCGACAACTGGTACTTTAAGTTGGTGCTTCACTATCGTTTCTTCCAGGTCTCTTCCTTTCAGTCATCTAATTAAACTTATTAATCTTAATTTTTTTTTAAAAAGCTGACAGAAAGGTATAGATCGGTGAAAACGGTATTATTTGACAGAAAGAAATAGATCTAAAAGAAATGATGGTGAAGCTCATCTGTGCAATGGTTGGAGCGGCAGGGAGGGCGTTCCCTGTGGAGATCGATGCTAGTGAGTTGGTGGGGGGCGTGAAGGAGGCGATTAAAGACAAGAATAAGAACCGATTTAGAGAAGTCTGACGCCGACAAGCTGAAGTGATGAAATCGTAAGCTTTCGCCCAGGAGGAACCTGTGCTATGGACGGGTATACATCATGGGGCACGCTTTGGCGATGGATGCAATCGACGCGTTATTGAGCGGCAATTGACGTATGCGCTTGCTGACAAGCGGATGCCAACGAAGACCAAAGGATTTCAGAAAGGAAGGTGCTCTTGCGGTAATAATCAAGGAAAGTGCTTTCTGTACCAATCTGCAGACGGGTCTCCGTCTAGAGATGCATTTCTGTGTCTGGAAGATGCGACGAAGGGCTTCTTTCACGAGGTTCATCACTGTAAGTGTGACGAAGGGAAGCTATCACTGGACGTTTTCAAGCAAGAGCGGTCGAAGGTTGCTGGTACCGACGACCTATTCATCTTGTATTGCACGAGTCAGGTGACGGCTGACCTACGTATGCTGCCAAATTCCGCGTTTGTTGATGCCACGTGCTGGGAAGCGTACTACGGCCCATTTGCTGCTCGTGCACTCTTCATCAAGTCTGTTCCGTTACCGTGCATCAACACGAGCTCCGCGGTCCAGCTGGAGCTCGTGGAGGGTGTAGACCCGGCCTACCGTGCCCGAATCGCAAAGAAGCGTCCATTTGCGAGCTTGGAAGATGCTCTTGTGAGGACCAAGATTCCAGTCAAGGTCCTTAGACGATTCGATTTCCACACGGATTCGCGCGAGCCCCATCTTGGTCATGGGTAATACTTCCTGTGAAGAGAAAATACATCTCCTCTTTCTCCGTTCTACGCATGAACCGATCGCACAAAGGGGGTGGTTGATTCACCGCCTTCACCGCTATTGAACTATTTTTCGCTTAGCACGTCTTTGCCTAGCGCGGGTGTAATTTGGCTACGCGAACACGTAATACCTTACCTTACGTCTTTGCCGTCAGGATTATCTTACAGGACTTCTAAGTAGCTCAATGCAAGAAAAAAATGTCCTGAGTGAATTTGTCACGAAGCAAATCATGACATGCCTCATAGCATCGGGCTAGGACACTTCTTCGATCAGATATTTTTATCAATGATGAGGGAAAGGCTCCCTAAATAGGAACATTCCAACTCGAATCATATGCCAAACTACAAAGACTACGGCGTCTAATGCAAGTCCCTGATGACGAAGTAGACGTGGAGCTTGAGCAGAAAATTAAAGATCAAGAGTTCGCTACGTTATTGCATCGGTGACGTTCAAAGTATATCGAGTTCAAAGAAAAATACGCAAGCAAGAAGCAAACATACGAAGGATTACAGTAAGGACTACGAATGCAATGCCAGAAGCACCAAGCGATACTTCATTAATGCTAATATATTATCTCAAACAGATTGTTTTCGACGTTGAGTACGGACGTACACCCAGTCGACAGAGCATCGACGCAACACCAAACATGGTCTTCTCGTTGAATGAGGCGTCTTGCTTAAAATCGAGCCCTGGCAGCAGCTTATTTGTTGCTAGGGTGACTAGATCCCCAGAAGAAGCTTGTGGCAATCCATCTCGATCGGTGAAAGTGCTCCACCACATTGGGCGACCCATGCGCAGCAACGCATTCCAAGCATCATCCTCGCTCCCGGTCGCAATCGCCTTGTACGCAGATATTTCGCCATTCAGCTCTGCCGTCTCACTTGGATATTCCACCTGTCCAGCTCCGGTCATGTAATCATCATCGGACTTTCTTCTCTCCCTTTGATTACTCCCATTTAATTTCTGCTCATAATCCCCCGGGGGGATTCCCCCCCCAGTGAGTATACATAGTGTGAGTCAGCACAAAAGGAGGAAAAGTCGCTCGACGGCCTTACCTCCGTCTACAAACACTCCAAAAATGCCTCCTTCTGCTTTGATTCTGTTGTTGACCAAAGCAAGCTCTCGTCGTAATAGACGAAAATCATTAACTTTGACTGTTAACGCGCCTGGGTCTGCCTTCTTAATAAGTAGGGACCATGCTCTGTCAACCACCAGCACCACCA